CAGCTCGTCGGCGCCGCCCACATAGAGGCGCGTGCCCAGCGCCAGCAGCGCCAGGCACTGCTCCCGCTCCAGCGGCTGCCGCGCCGCCTCCAGCACGCGCCGCACCAGCCCCTGCTTCACGCTCGCCGGGTACGACGACGTCACCACCGCCTCCAGGATCTTGTCCATGGCGGCTGCGCTGCGGGGGACAGGGAGCAGGGTCACACTATGCCCGACGGGCCCGGATCCCCCTGTGGGCCCCTGCCTGCTGAGACTGGGGGCGAGCAACTCAACCTTTCCAGGCCTCAGTTTCCTCATCTGTGAATGGAGCAAGGATACCTCCCTCACTGGGCGGTACCATGATGAAGTAAGCATAATGCCTGGTATGTAGTAAGTCTCAGTGAGTTGTAGTTATTGCTGATGGGTGCCTTTAATCTCACAAAGGCAACATCTGAGCTGTCCCTCCTCCTCCCACCCCTTTGCCCTTCTCTCCCCAGCCTCCCTGGTGACTCATCCACTCTTGGGGCAGGTAGGAGCTGGATCTACAAGCTGCTGTCCAGAGTCTTGACCAAATCATCTCCTGTGGGGGAGATGACATGGGGTACACACACACAGTCACACCTCCAGGGACCAAGGGCTTAGGGCCCCAAGGGAGGGCCCACAGGGCTTCCGGAGATCCCTTGCACACTTTATTTTGCCCCCAATCAACTTCTTGCTCTTTCTCAGATGATCTACACTTTTCCAAGGCTCCACTTCTTGGTGTATGCTGTGACTTGCCTGAAACATCCTATCTCCCAAGACTTCCACCAGCACACACACGACCAGGCAGACTCCCATTGTCCTTCAAAGCCCACCTCAAACGCCCTGTCCTCAGTGAGAACATCCCTCACCCTCCATTCCTCCAGCCAGCTGTGGCCTCTTCATTACACCTGGGATCACACAGTGCCGGCGCTGTATGGGTCCACCTCCCCTCCACTGAAGCACAGCGTCTTGTCTCTGTGCTCTGGCCCTGGCCACTCAGAGCCCTGCTTCCCCAGCCTCAGCCCACACCAGCCCCTCACTCTTGGCTCACTGTGTTCTCCCTGCCACTGGGCCCTTTGCAGATGCTCTTCCCTCCTCCTTGCTTGGCTCACCCTGCAGACTTCAGCTCAAACTCACGTCCTCAAGGAAGCCTCACCTGACCTCCCTGCCTGGGTCAGACACCCCTGTTCACAGTTTCAGAGCACCCTGTCCTCCTTTATAGCACCTATCATGATTACTTGATTGGAGTCAGCCGCCTCCACTATACTACATGGGTTCCTGAGGGCAGGAACCGTGTCAGGTTTTGTTCATCATGGTGTGCCCAGCACCTAGCCCAGTGCCTGGCACACAGTAGACATTTGCTGAATGAGCAGATGCAGAATACAGTGTGAGTTACTGCTACTTTATTCCTCTGAGCCATGACCACCTTCCCTCTGCCCTTCCCCTCCACGTGTGATGTTTCTTGGAAGCCTTCATCCCAAGCTGACCCCCCTTGACTCTGGATTCCCATGCTGGTTCACATAGGCACAGTTGGCTCGCTCTCTCTCTTTTTTTTTTTTGGTGAGGAAGATCAGCCCTGAGCTAACATTCATGCCAATCCTCCTCTTTTTGCTGAGGAAGACCGGCCCTGAGCTAACATCTATTGCCAATCCTCCTCCTTTTTTCCCCCAAAGCCCCAGTAGATAGTTGTATGTCATAGTTGCACATCCTTCTAGTTGTTGGACGTGGGACGTGGCCTCAGCATGGTCTGACAAGCGGTGCGTCGGTGCGCGCCCAGGATCCGAAGCCGGGCCGCCAGTAGCGGAGTGCGCGCACATAACCACTAAGCCATGGGGCCGGCCCCACAGTTGGCTCTCTTAATAGCCAACTTGCAGATCCTAGAAGGCAGGGCCATTTCTTTGCTTCTTTGTCTAATCCCACTCTAGGGAGGACCCAATGTAAGGCTCAGCATACAGTAAGTGTTTAACTTATTGGCTCAGTAAAAACTGTTCTATTCTTGAGACCCGGACTTGGTGTGAAGACAGGCCAGAAATTTCCTAGATGGGGGGCCAGAAACTTTTATTCAGAACTACAGATATAGCGGGACTCCAACTATGTGCCAGGTCCCATGGTCCCTCCCTTCTGTCCTCGCTCTTGGCAGAGACCAAACCTCCATTACTGCCTGTGTTACAATGCGATGGGCCCATGTGTTCAAGCCTCTGTCTCTCTCACCAGGCTGTGAACTCCCCTGGGCAGGGACTGGGGCTTACTTATCAGTGGCTGGTATCTCCCATGCCAGTTGCTGCAGACCGAGTGCCTCTGAAGAGATTACTGTGGGTGTAGCCAGGGTACAGATCAGTGGCCTGGCTGCCTCAGAATCACTGGGGCACTTGGTGCAAGTTCATACGCCCAGGGCCCACTCCAAGCCTCCTGGAATGGTGTGTTAGACTCTGCTTGTTTACTATGAATGAGATTCATCTGGGATGCGTTCGGCTTACCATCCAGGTTCCTTATGCTCTCCGAGCCTCTGTCTCCACCCTTCAGGGTTTTTGTGAAGACAACTATTGTCTTTAGCTCAGTGTGGGGCACAAGGAAGTGCTCAGTCCCCTTAGCATTAGAAGCAAAGTCCTTGCCCTTCAGAGCTTCCAGTCTGGTGATGGAGGCAGAAGTGTTGGTAAAGAGTGCTGACACAAAGCACAATCTCAAAAGGCCTTTAAGAGTGTCTTATAAACTGGTCTCCCTCCAGCCCTGGTCCTCTCTTTCCTAGGCAGTGCCTGTGACAAGGCAGTGGCTGTGACCAACCTCCCTTGCAGACCATCACCCCAGCTGCTACCCCTGCCCTCCAGGCTAGTGGATTTAATAGGCTTTCAACCCAGGATGCCAAGAAATCCTCGTACTCAGGCAGCTAAGGAGAAACCCTAATCGATTAGCTATTGACATCGTGTGTGGAGGAAGAGGACATGGGGGCAGGCAGAAATGGAGTTCTAGGGCCAGGGAAGGCTCTGGAAGTGAAAAGAAAAACAGACTAGGAATGAGGACTCCTGCACTCTAGTGTGACCTTGAGCAAATCTCATTCTAGTCCTGCAACTCATTGTGTGACCTTGAGCAGATCACATCGTGAGCCTCTTTTCTGTAAAATGGGGATAAAGGATATCAGGTTGAACCACATGAGAGGGAAGGATCAGATGTTGGCAATTTCCTGTCGTTCTAGCTGACGCCTACCACAGGAGGTGGTCTGTGCCTGGCAGCAGGACCTCAGTCAGTGGAGCCATTCTGTGAGGGCTCTGATCGCCAAGGCCAGCCCTGCAGCCTCTGGGCAGTCCTTGGCCTGACCACTCCAGGCAAGCCCAGCTGCTGCCCCCACCCCCATGCAGGCAGTCTGAGGTCAGCTGTCACCATGGTCACCAACAAACCCACTCAATAATATCTTGGATACATTCAGGCAAAAGGGTTTTAGAGGCTTAGACCTCACCTGACCCCATCATGGGCCACAGAAGGGAGGCAGGACAAGGCCTGCCATCCCTAGGGCATAAATGGGCAAGCCAAGGATCAGTGAGTGAGAGGGACACGGCCTCGGCAGGGTGGGATTAGAACCTGTACTCGGCCTCCCTGGGGAGGAAGAAGCAGACTGCCAGCATTCCTCAGGGGAGACTGGATTACCCCTTTAGGCTGTGGATGAGGAGATGGTCTATTGGCCTGTCGGCACTGGCTCTGACCCAAGAGACAGCTGCCCCAAGCCAAACACAGCAGCAAACGGCAGCCGTATCCTCCCTCAGAAGAGCCTGCATTGGGCCGGCCCCGTGGCTTGGCGGTTAAGTGCGCACACTGTGCTGCCGGCGGCCCGGGTTCGGATCCCGGTGCGCACCGACGCACCGCTCCTCTGGCCATGCTGGGGCCGCGTCCCACATACGGCAACTAGAAGGATGTGCAGCTATGACATACAACTATCTGCTGGGGCTTTGGGGGAAAAATAAATAAATAAAAAATCTTTAAAAAAAAAAAAAAAAGAAGAGCCTGCATTGAAAGCATGGGATCCAGGTTTTCTGCTTCAGAATCACCAGGTGACCCTGGGTGAATCCCTGCTGGGCTCCAGCCTTCTCACCTGGAAAATGGGGACCATTCTGGCCTAACCACCGATGGGACTGGGACAAGGTATAAAGAAGATGAGGGCTGGGGCAGTCATGAGTCTATTCTTGGGCCATCTGGCACTGAGGGGTAAAACAGACACTGTCAGGGAAGGAGACAAGAAGACACACACTCCTGACCTAGCTGATTCTACAGGGAATTACATCCATTAGCCCTCACTGCCAACTTAGCCTTTCCACTGTCTCCCCCTGAGCTCCAGCCCCACGCAAGATCAGCTCCTCTTTGCTTCTTGCCTGGACTAGTGCAGTAGCCTCCTAATCAATCTCCTGGTCCCTCCCTCCATTGATCCACCATCAGAGACATGTGTCCTGCAGCAGAGTAGAGTCCACGCTTCGAATCCAGCCCAGCCACTACCGCCACGGTGGCCACAGCCATGAGGCTGGTGCTCTTTCACCTCTCTGAGCCTCTGAACCCCAAAACGGGAGATGACCACCTGCCCACCTCTTAGCGTTTCCCAGCCAATGCTACTGCTCCTCCAGAAGCCCTGGGCTTATACCTCTCACTGCTGGCATGACAGCATGAGAGTCCCAGCAATGCCCAGCCCGCTCCAGGGCACAGTAAGCACACAGGAACATCATGGTCCTCCCCTGGAAGGCCCAGATCCGTTTATTTGTCCCTCTCTGATGACTCTCCATATTTCTGCTGTGTATTGACAGGTCTCTGTTCCTGCCTGGTGGAGCCTGACTCATCTCCATCACCCCCAAAGCACTGTGTGTGTGTGTGTGTGTGTACAATGCCCTGCCCCACCCTAGGCCCCAACTCAGGCTTCTTCATCCCTCCCTGGTCTCTCTGACCCACCCTGCAAACATGGGCAGAGTAATCTCATTACACGACAAACTCCATCCTGCCATGCCCCCACTCAGAACTCTCAAGGCTCCCCAACCCCTTCAGGATAAGGTCCAACCTCCTGAGCCTGACACTCAAGCCCTTTCTGTGCCACTGAGCTGATATGGGGCAGGGGTAGAGGATGAACTTGACAAATGCTGTTCGGTGGTGAATCTACAGGAATTTGGACAGTGGGATTTTCCTGCTGGCCACCTTTCGGTGATGTCCTCTCTGCTGGGAAAGGGCTTCTCCCTCTTCTCTCCTGGCGAATTCTGACTCATCCTTCAGTGCTCAGGTCACATGCCCCCTCCTCTGGGAAGCCTTTCCTAATCTAACTGCAGACCAAGTCTCTGAGTTCTGGCTTCCCAAGGCCCTCTTCCCCTCTCTCATCCCTCAGCAGTGTCACTGGATCCTATGTCTATCTCCCCCACCAGGATGGGATCTCCTTTGGGAGGAAAGGGGTCCAATCCCCCTGTCTGTGCCCAGTGCTAGCACAGGACCCAGCACAGAGGTGAAGGAGTGCCAAGTGACCACAAAAGACATGTGACAGCAAGATGAGATAAAACCAAGGATATGACCACAGAAGCACCAGCCTAACCGTTGGTCCGGTCACTGCCCCCTTATCTGCCCAGGTCTGCTCCTACATATCCATAACCCTGAGCATCTTAAACATCAGCCAAGAAAGCCCCTACAGAGGTCACTGGACGGGACTGAGTGAGGCTTTAGCCATTCTGGAAGTGACTCAAACAACCAAAGCTAAAGAAAAAGAAACAAAACAAAACAACTGCTCCTGGTTAACCAGTTGTCAGGTCAAAAGCTCACAGAATCTCATGGGACAGGGTAGGGGGCTTCAAGAAAGTTGCACGCAACCTCCCTCTACCCCAGAGCACAGCAGCCCCTCAAGCCCCAGCTCAGCATCTAAGACTTGAGGAGGCCATTTCCTCTCCTCTCTGACCCTCACACCCAGTCTTCCTCCTTCGACTCCCCTGGGTGCTGGAGCTGCCTCGGGGGCACCAGGCTGTCCCTGTCCTCACCCAGAAGGGCCCTCCATCCCTGGCCTCACTGCATCTTGCTGTGTATTTTTTAACTTCTACCCAAGGCAGCCCTGGGAAGGAGCCCCTCCCCCAACTACTGGGAGGCCCTCGTCTGGGCCACCAACCTGTCTCCTGGAAAGAAAGGAAAAAAAGGGTTTTACTGGTAAAAAGCAACTGCTCTTTTACTGAGAGGAATGGGAGCATATATTCCCTTCTCAGGAACCCATTACACTCACCCATCCCCGCCCAGGGCCTCCCCTCATATACCTCGGATGGCATGCCCCCACCCCCACCCCAGGCTTTCTGGAAGGGCGGGCACCAGGCTAACGCATGGGGTCTCACGTTCACAAGGGCTCTTGCAGGGGGAGTACCCGGGCGGGGATGCTGAGAATAGCTGAAGCCCATTGCAAGCGGTGGTGGCCTCTTGGCCCCCCAGTTTGTGCCCCAGCTTGGCCCTACCCTTCCCTCCAGTCATACCAGTGCACCAGCGCCCAGCCCAGGCTGGGGCTGCGGACCCCACGAAAGGCCGGCGAGCTTCGTGGTACTGGGCGCGGGTGCCGTCAGCCCTGAAGCGGGTGGAAGCGGGATCACCTCGATACACAATTGATGAAGAAGGAGGATGAGGCCCAGAGAGGGGCAGCTACTCGCCCAAGGTCACACAGCGAGGCCCAGGATGCACCCAGACCTCCCACCTCTCAGCCCCAGACTCTCAAAGCCCTACGCGTGTGTTCGGGGCTCTTGAACCGCCAGGGTGCAGACACTCCTTCCCCGCAACCCGCACACACGCCCCCAGCCCCCTTACCTCTGGGACCCCAGTGGCCCCTGCCTCAGAGCAGGCTCCTGGGTGGGGCGGTCAGGCCCGGCAGGACTAGACCGGGCCAGGCTAGGTCAGGGCGGGTCCTCTGCCCACCCCTGAGTGAGGACGCCCTCCGCCAAGTCCCAGGCGGCAGGGATGCTGCTTCCACTGCAAAGTCCAGCCTCCCCACCGGGCTCTGCACAAGCCCGTACCCAGGAAGTCCGACTCAGCGGCGCGGCGGCAAGGCTGCGGGACCAAGCGGGCGGAGGCGCGAGGTGCGGGAAACGGGGCGGAGCCGGAGCGGGGGCCACCCCGCGAACCGCCACTCAGGCCGCGTCCCCTTTAAGGCCAGCCGGCCCGAGGGCTGGAGGGGGCCGGGCACTGGACGGCTCACCGCAATGCCTCCTGGGAGACAGAGTTCGCGCTAGGCGCGCCGAGCCGCAAAGAGCCCAGGGAGAACTACAAGTCCCGGAGCGCAGCGCGCAGGTCCCGGGCCGCCACGCCCCTGGGCTGGGCTGCGGTCCTCCGCCCCCCTCGCAAAGCTGCGCTGGCTGCCCGCGGAGGGGAGGCTGCAGACCGAGGGCAGGAGGTGGGTGCGGCGCGGCTGGGGATGTGGGGCGCAGGAACAGCAGGTGAAGGGACGCAGGCCCACCTGGGCACCTGTCCTACCTTGAGAGGTCATCTAGCGTACCCTAGCCTCGCCATTCTCATCTGTGCAATGGGAATGGCAATGTCTCTGCCTCCGGGGGAGGGGGTGCATATCGGGGAGAGGGGGCGGAGCTAGTGGAAGGAGCCAGGATGGATGGTGATGATAGGAAAAGCCCGGATCATGAGGGTCGAGACTGTGGGAGGAATCTCTGGTGGGTGGGGCAAGGGTGGGCGGAGTTTCTAGGTGAGACGGGGAACACGAGTGAGGTCGGAGAAGAGGGCTGCAGAGCTGGGGAGCGGGTGCTGAGAAAGCCGATGAAGCCTGGGTTGGATTGGGTGGAATGGGCCAAAAAGCATTAGGGAAGGAGGGGCGGAGACACAAAAATGAAAAGGACCGCTTCTAGCCCTGGAAAGCCCAGTGTGGGCAGCACTGGTATGGTTTGGGCAAGGGGGTGCCCGAGTGAGCAAATACTTGTGGATGCACAGAACACCTTCTTTCCTTGTGACTAGAAGTAAATAGCCCATCCCTTAAACTCAGTGCGTCACACACATGATCTCATTGAGCTCTCACACCCTGTGAAGGCGTCACCATGTCTGTTTACAGGTGAGGAATATGAGGCTCAGAGAAGTGAAGTGAGTTTGCCAAAACCACCCAGGACTCCTTACTCCAAAAACCGTGCTTTTTTTCCTGCGCTGCGGGGAGGCAGAGGTTTAGTCTGGAGTGGATGGCAGGGAAGAAACAAAAGTTTCCATGCCCTGTCCTTCGCAGGTTATGTGGCAGGACCAGCTTCTAAACCCTTCTGAATGCTAACCTGTAAGGCAACCCTCCCGAGGTTATTGTGAAGATGAAATCAGGAGAGGGATTTAAAAGCCTTTTGTTTATAAATTATTATAATTGTTGTGAGGAGCAGGAAGACCATAAGAAAGAGAGTAGTTGAGATGGGGTACTCGTGCCTGAAGAAAACCCACAAGATGAAGCTTGAGAGTGAGCTGAGATGATGAAGGAAAATTCTGGAAAAGGATGGGGGTTGGTGGTGGTTGTTGGGAGTTGGCACCAGGTAAGAGAATACTTTGCTATGCAAATGGAGAAGTCAGGTTGCCAGGTCAGGTGGCTTCCCTCCTCCAGCCCACCTTTCCCTATCACGTGCCCTGCTGGGCAGCTCACTCCAGGGTCTGTGTGTCACCCGAGTCTAAGAAGCTCCTTTTCTCCCTACGGTGGGGGTAATGGAGCAGCCTGTGGACTTACAGATATGAACTGGGCAAAACAGGGCTAATGATACAGCTGTTGGGTGTGGGGAGGCCAGGAAGAGGAGGTGAGGGGCAGTGCCTCATATAGTCCCGAGGGCTGTGAGAGTCTTTGATCCTGAATTTAAAAATTCAGGAGAGGGTGATAAACCTCCCTATTGGTAGATGACCGTCAGTCTAAGGTGAGGAAAATGGATCTGACTAAATAGGGGAAGAAATCTCTTTCTCTTCCTCTACTCTCCCTGCTTCCAGGGGTACATAGAGGGGAGATCCCGGCCCCAGCAGGGTGGCCGGACACCCATCTACTTGCGTAAAGTGGGCTTTGGTAAGGGGTGAAAATAAAATGCTCTGGAGATGCAGAGGAGGAAGGAATGAATTCCAGCTGTGGGGCCTGGCAGATGAATGGGATTTTCCTTTGCGGTGCAGGCAGAGGGGATGGCAGATACCAAACTGCAGAGAGAGGAGAGGGCCTGGCATGGCAGAGTAGGGATAATAATAGTATCTAGTTCATCTATGACATCAACTTGCATGAAGTGCGCAGCACAGTAGTAACTGCTCAGTAAATGTCAGCCGTTGTTATTACTGCTACTGTTGTGATCACCATCATCTATCCAGGAATCCGCCTAGGGCCACACAGCCGGGAAGTGGCAGATCCCACTCATGCTGAAGCCCAAGCACTTTCCTCTCCCCCTCCAGTTCTTTCTGCCCATCCACCTCACTTGTGAGACCCAGAAGTGGCCCCTCTTTGTGAACATTCTGGGTGAGCTGTAACAGGAGTTTCTTTCCTGCCGTAGTAGCAGAGACTCTGGGTTCAGGAGGAGGCAGGGGAAACAAGGCCTGAACAGCCATCTTCTCCCAGCCTGGATCCCAGCAGAGACAGGCAGGCCTAGTGTGGTGGTTTCTGTGGGCAAGACCACTCAGGTTGAAATTCTAACTCCCCCAACAACTGCGGGCTGTTTTAGCTTAGCCCTGGTTGGCTTCCTCATCCTCCAAAAGGTGGCGACACCTGGAGAGGAAAATTATGAGATTTTAATGCTTCTTAGTAGTAGTAATAACAAATCTACTACTTATTGAATTTGGCTAATTATTGGGGTCAGGCGCTCTGACTGGAACCTCACATTTGTAGTCCTACGAGGGAAGTGTTTTTTTCTTCCGTCTTCTTTCAAAATGAAAATATTTTTAGAATTTTCAAGCCTACAGAAAAAGTTTAAAGAATAGCGTTTCGGGGCCAGCGTGGTGGTGTAGTGGTTAAGTTCCTGCCCTCTGCTTCGGCATCCCGGGGTTCATGGGTTCAGATCCCGGGCACGGACCCACACAATGCTCATTAAGCCATACTGTGGCCATGTCCCACCAACAAAATAGAGGAAGACTGGCATAGATGTTAGCTCAGGGAAAATCTTCCTTAAGCAAAAAGAGGAAGATTGGCAACAGATGTTAGCTCAGGGCCAATCTTGCCCTCCAAAGGAAAAAAAAAAAAAGAATAGCCTTTCACTTAGATGCACCAATTCATGCATTGCTGATTTTGCTTTTACACACACACACACACACACACACACACTTTTTTTTTTACTAAACTATTTAAGTTACATCTTGACACTTGATCCCTAAATTCTTCAGCAGGTATCTCCTAATTATAACATTCTATTACATAATCATAATACCATTATCATACCTAAGAAAATGAGCAAGTCGATATTATCTAATAAACAGTTGATATTCAAATTTGCCCAACTGCCAAAAAATATCTTATGTAGTTTTGTGTTTAATCAGATGCAGTCAGGATTCATGCATTGCATTTAGTTATATCTCTTTTTTTTTTTTGCTGAGGAAGATTCACCCTGAGCTAGCATCTGTTGCCATTCTTCCTCTTTTTATATGTGAGCTGCTGCCACAGCATGGCCACCGACAGACGAGTGGTGTAGGTCTGCGCCCAGGAACCTAACCCAGGGCACCAAAGCAGAGCATGCCGAACTTAACCACTAGGCCACTGGAGCTGACCCTAGTTATATCTCTTTAAGCAACTTATTTTATCTAGATCGAGCCCCCTCCACTTGTTTAAATTTGTTTGATTATTTTATCAATGATTAGATTCAGATTAGATTTTTTTCTTCTGGGAATGTTGTGTACTTCTTATTGTATCACACGTGTAATATCAGGGTCCTACTCTCCGTGAGTGCTAAATTAGATTATTGGTTAAGATCATGACAGCCTGATCTCTCCATATAAGGGTAAAGTTTTCCCTTTTGAAATTAGCAAGTAGTCTGTGGAGTGATTCTTTGAGAAATTGTGTATTCCCATAATCTTTCACTCCACATCCGTTGATGATTTGCAACATTGAGGGTTGCAAAATGGTAATTTTCTAATTATACCATTCTTTCTATATTTATTAGCTGGTATCCTTTGTTATAGAATAACTTTTTCCTGCGTGTGTCTGTGTCTGTGTCTTTCTCACTTCCTCTCTTCGCTCTCTCTTTTTCTTTTTGGACTAACATAGACTCATGATTTCTTCTAAATTTGATGTTATAACCCATTATCATCACTTAATCTTTTTTGGTACTCAAATTATGCCAAATTTGGCCAATGAGAGTCCCTTTAGGCCAGCTCCTGTGTTCTTTTGTTTTGTTTTGTTAGTTGAGATTATAATTGATATATGTAACATTGTATTAGTTTCAGGTGTACAACATAGTGATTTGAGATATATATATATATTGCAGAATGATCACAGTGTGTTTAGTTAACATCCATCACCATGCATAGTTACAAAAAGAATATTTTTTTTCTTGTGATGAGACTTCTAAGATCCCCTCTGTTCTTTTGACATGACCTCATCAATCTTTGATTGCTTCTTTGCTCTCTGGCAAGAGATGTTCCAGGCTCACCTTGAACTTTTCCTGTCAAAGTCCTGGAATCATCAGTTTCTCCAGGAAGCCCTGGTTTCTTTTTGTAGGCGGTTACATTTAGAAACCAAGATCTGGAGTCAGGTGTGCTCATTGCTACTGGGGTATCATTTCTAGGCTCTTTGAATGAGCAGAGCTAAGAAATGATGGATGGGAAGGTGGATGGATGGACAGATGGATAGATAGATAATTATCATTGCTTAGTAGATTCATTGTTGTTACAAAAACTGGGATCCTCACTCTGTAAAATGAGTAGATTGTGCTAGAAGTAGTTCCATTATGGAAGCTCAGTGGGCAGTAACGTAGGAAATTGCACAGAAAGCCCTATTCCAGGACTCCATGAGCATACAGGCTGTTGACTCAGACCTCTGGGGCTGCCTTCAGTCTCTCGCTCAAGACCCAGATTAGAAAAGACCCCAGGCTGTCTCCAAA